AAATATCGAATATTTAAAAAAAAAATACAAAAATGTGTCCTAAGATTTTTTTGTAGTACGAGAGAATAGTAAATCGAATTAACAAATTTTTAAGTTTAAATGATGATTCGGTCCGGAGAAAGAACTATTTTTTTTTTTTTTTAAATGACCTGCGCGCATCAAATTTACATTTTCTCAATTTCGATATTTATGCGGCATAATTCGATCTGTCACGTTCATTGGACTGATCTGTCAGTCGATCCCATCTATCAAAACCGTCACACCCAATCCATATAAAATACAATCCTTCAGTATAATCTGAACGAATAATTCCTTTCCAGATATAGTTCGCGAAGAAACTATATTCCATCTGTCGATCTATCGAAGGCCCAATCCTAAATAATCTATTAGATTAGAAAAGAAAAAAAAATATATTCCTCTTTTACAATCTGAAACGTACGACAAATAACTTCTTTGAACTTGCAAATTTATTCCAAAGGAATATTCCTAGATAATAAAATCCTCTACGAAACTGCGTTAGTACCGATCTCAAAGAAGAGGAAAAAGAGAAAAGGGAGGAGAATGAATTTTCTATTACGTTGTTGCTGTACGAATTAACAGGGGGTGAACCGCAGTTTCTGCATCGTCATCAAAGGGATCTAATTCACGCGGTAAATTTTTCTCCGCGCGATATCGCGAGCCGGACGTTTTGCCGCTAATTACGCGCACGGAGATACGCGTGGCCGCAGCTGAATGGCTCGCGTAGATCAAAGCTTGTCCTAACAATGACGAGCTGGCTCGACCTCTGTCTCGTTGCCCTTTAACCGGCCTTTCGACCTCGTCCTGATGGTCGCGAAAGAAACGCCAGAGAGAGAGAGAGAGAGAGAGAAGAGGAGAGAGGTTGCACCTCGTTATCGGTCCCGCGTGACCTGCCGCGCAAAAATTCCACCGTTCGACGCGAATTAATATCTCTCTCCGTTTTTCATGGGGCGTTTACGACTTCTAGCCGCCGGCAGAGAAAATTGAAGATCCGCTGAGAAGCTGGCGAGTATTTGTTTCAATTCGTCGTTTGTCTCTTCAATGACGGGTGAGTTGTCCTACAAGTTACAGCATCTAACGAGTCAAGGACACGTTGTCTTTTTTAATATTGATTCTTTAATATTCAATCGTTGATTAAGAGTTTAATATCGAACGAAGAGCATCTGGCGAATTAAGAATTACATTTTTTGACACTGATCAATGTTAAATTGAACATTTATTCATAAATTATTATATTTATTTATTTAATTATTATTACATTGATTATTACGTGTTAAGTCATGCACTGATCAAGAGTTTAATACCGAATGAAGAGCATAATTTAACAAAGAATTAATTTTTTAATATGCAGGATGTCCCGATTCGTGGTCAATCGACTGGGAAACGATTCTGCACGTAAAAAAATGTGTCGAAAAGAAGGAATAAAATTTGTCCATTAAAACCTTCGTTTTCGCGAAAATCGAGTTTGAATATTTATTAATTACGTTATATTATACTTGAACTGTATTATGTTATATTTTGACTTGAATTATATTATATTATATCATATCTTGAAATGTAATTAACTTCATTTTAAATCCCAAATTCATTAATCTGTGTGTGTGTATATATATATATATATATATATATA